CTGTTCCTATTGTCCATGTTGCGGTTGGCATCGTTACGTAACTGTAAGCAGCCTGTTATATAAAACATGTGTACAACATTTTTATATATCTTTAACGTCAGTTCATTAGGTTTCATTCAATAAAACGATATAAATGGCTTAGCTCTGATGCCTGGATATACCTAGCGTGAGCTACGAACGAACCGGCAGACGGACAGATCGACGGAGAAACAGACTATACTCGGGGATCAACTTTCTGTGGTAATGAAGGGAATGTTACGGGGGCGAAGCTACTGCTCATGTACTCCTCCGCGAAGTAGTCCGGATAACTCGTCAGAAGCTCATACGAAGTACAAGTACGAGCTACCTACGAAGTACGAAGTACGTAAGTAGCTCGTACAAAGTCACTGGATACAATGGTCCTTTAATAGGTTCAAGATAACAAGTTAACAATGGTGCCTTACCCGGTAAAGAAGAAATCTGCTTGGCCATTCCTTTTTTCTTCACGGGCGGCACCATCCTACCGTATATAACACTGGCGCTTGGACTGTTCGGACCTCAGTACGCAGCTTCTCTATACTGCCGCTAGGTACTACATGAATTGCTGGAGTCACGAAAGACACAGAATATTGGCGTGTTGTTATGGTACCTCAGATGTGCGCAATGATTGCTTTTTAATTGACAATCGCACAAGCATGAACGCTGCAACATGAACAATATTGGTGGGTGCTGTGGATGAGGTTGACCGTTTGAGGTATCACTTGGGGTTGTTTGGGTATTGTTACGGCGGACAAACAGGCAAAGGCACAGACAGACAGACAGACAGACAGACAGACAGACAGACAGACAGACAGACAGACAGACAGACAGACAGACAGACAGACAGACAGACAGACAGGCAGGCAGGCAGGCAGGCGGAAAGGCAGGCAGGCATATTTTTTGCGTTGAATTACACCAAGAAAAACTATTGGCTTCAAAATTCTTTCCGCTTGATGCGCTTGGGGTGCCTTTTTGCAAACAAAGTAGTGGTGGTACACCTTACGATAATATGACACTTATAGCTCCTCATAGCATCTGAAAATCGAGAATGACTGTAAGATACTTCAATGTCGATGCAAGAGTGCCTAGCTAATACTATAAACAAAGCATAAAAGATTTTGTGGAGATACAGAAGTTGCGGGAATGCTCCCCAGAGAGGTTGCCAATTGTGGAATTATGATTGTCTATAAAACACATTTTAAAATTGTTTCATATGCTTTTGTCCGGTGGCGGATAAAGCCATATTCGCAACCGTGTCATTAAGTGGTCTTTTAAGCAGAGTTCTTAATTGTGCTTTGCCATTTTTTGTAAATATGTATATTTTATGTCGGCCAAACACCTGCAATAACGAAAAAAAAAAACTAGGCCGCACCGCTCATGCTATGCATCATACTAACGGTGAAAGGTTTCTGTCACACTGTTTGGCTTGTAGCGTGATCTATTAATATTTTAAGGAGAAACATAGGGTCGTAATATATAGCCTTTGTGATGTAGCATCCTTTGTTGCATGTCCTTGGGGCCACATGTTCAGCAAAATCAGCAAGCATCTCGATTGACCGGAGTGTAGTTCGTAGAAAAAGATTAAAAACATCATGGACCCTTTTCTGTCGAAGGTAATAGAGACAAGTGATCCCGTGTCGCGTGAGTCATGACGCTTTAGGCCAGACGGAGTGGCTGCCAGACATGCATTGATTGTTCAAAAATTTTTGTTTATTGCTGTGGCAATTCATTTCTACCTCGTCCTATTGCAAATATAAAAAAATCTTTATATTAACCATCAGTTTTACGGTCGATCTTCTGTAGTGGGTGGCAGCCCTATATAAATGAACAAACTATATAAACAAGCTTCTCCCACCATCCAGCTACTTCCGGCGTCGCAATATCTGGGAAAATCTGAGGTGAACATTTCGATAAAGTGGTCTGAAGCCGTACTTTTCGCTACCATAACCAATGTCGTCGATGTCGACTGACGCCTAGGAAGTAAACGCCGCACAAACGCCGGCGAAAACGCTGTATGTAGTTCGTCCTTTGTGATGTCACCGTGTGTCGTACAAACACCCGCGGAGCAGCTCCACTGGAATGCTGGTCACGCTGAAGCAAGGCGGATTCGCATACGTACCTAGACACAGGAAAAATATGCCGCACGTGCTAGAAATGCTGTAGCTCAACGTACATTCCACCATGTTCACTACGAATGTACAGTGTCAATTTTATGGGCGAAACTCCTTAAAGCGGCACCCGTTTGTCCCTCGTATAGTCGTAGTCGTAGTGTGTAACCAGTCTTACGTTTTGACCTCCAAGGGGGTGGCGGTGGGAGATTTCTCTTGTGCGTTGTTGAACAATAAAAAATTCACAGCGTGCGCGTTAACTAAAAGCCAAATTTTCCTGTCTCTCATTCCTCATTAGCAACCATTGCCATGTATATTGAGAAGTATCTGACAAAAAAGGGCTGCTACGTTATACTCGTTTGGCGTAACCTCCTTGGTTTAACAAAGGTTTAGCGAGCGTTGAGCCGCAGTGCCACGAATACAGTGAACTAGTATATGCCATGAACTCGAGATGGTTAAAGATGGGAAGTAGATACAAAGCGCAAGCCGTAAGAAAGTAAAAGCCGATTTCTCCTGTCTCCCATTCCCCATTAGCAGCCATTGGCATGTACATTGATCACTATCTGACAAGAAAGGGTTGCTACGTTATGCTAACTGGGCGTAACCTCCTTGGTTTTAGAAAGGTTTTGCGAGTGTTAGGCCACAGTGCCATGAATACAGGGAACCAGTACATACCATACCATGAACTCGAGGTGGTTAAAGGTGGGAAGTAGACACGAAGCACAAGCCGTAAGAAAGTGTGAGTGTGCCACCTCTCGTTTAGTCCTTGGAATGTCTGCTGGATGGCGGTGCTTCCATATGGGAAATATATGATGACAGGATGCGAGATGGTGGTACTTGGAGTGTTGAATGGATGGACGAACGGACACGCAGACAGATGCATAGACGGACGCATGGATGGCTGCACAGACGGATGGACGCATGAACAGACGCAGAGGCGGATGCGTGGACAAACGCAGGGACAGACGCACAGATGGACGTGCGGACGCACGAACAGACGCACGCACGGACGGGTGGATGAACGCACGGACGGTCACACAGACGAACGTATGAACGGACGGAAGCAAGAACGAATGTACGGACGGATGCTTCGTCCCACTCTTCATCATTCACTCTGTGGATATTCCGCCAATTTTTTATGAAAGGGAACACGGCGACGCGTGGCCTGCGTGCTCCGGCTGCTGCTGGCAGCGCGTTCAAACGGGAGCGAGAGCAACCACAGTCTCTTTTCGCGTCATCTCATGGCAAGCAAAACAATTTGTGGCTGATATGGTACCAGCAGCAAGATTGCGACGCCCTTCCCCTTAAGGCGACTGTGCGAGAGCCAGTAATCGCCTTGAAGGGGGAGGGGTTGCAATCTTGCCGTTCTGTAGCAGCAATCAGTGGTTGTTTTGCTCGCCGAGAGATGACGCGAAAAGAGACAGTGGTTGCTCTCGCTTCCACTTGAACGCGCTGCCAGCAGCTGCCGGAGCGCGCAGGCCACACGTCGTCGTGTTTCTTTTCATAAAAATTGACACTGTACATTTAGTACTGTTTCTAAATATCCAAGCCTTACTTCGTGTAACTGTCCCATGTTTCGCTGTCGCAATCATGGCTTTGGCTTTGTGCCGAAACTGTGACCTTCTTTCTTTGCATGGTCCCGAGTTCTCCCTTGCAAGATTTATAAAACCTCAGCGGGCTCTTTCAGTGCAGTCCTGGCGAAAGGATCATTAATTCAACCTTACCATTCCTTGCTTTAACGGAAGCTTGGGCACTTATTTGCACTTTCATCACATCGCCCTCATCACAGTCCTACGCTTCTATAGTTCTTTTTTATTTTGAAATAATAGATCTATTTATATTATCATTCTTTTCGCAGACAATGGCAGATTGCGATGCTCCGTCTCCTGATCAACTATTGTCTTTAGCACAGTCGAGTGCTTCCTCCTAGGTTACATTGTAAACAGTGCCTTTTCCCAGTAATAATAAGAAATGGTACTATCTTATTCAATCGATAATTTTTTGACTGTCAATGTGTTTACGCTCGTTTATTCGTATTGCCTTTTCGCCACCTGTGTAACTTAAATCTTTTTCCTTCAGATTCTGTTAGTATTATTGTTTGGTATTCACCATTGCTGCGCAATGTTTTTTCGCACTCCTGCATGGACCCTGTGACTGGCAGTATTTCTGTAAATAAATAAAATTTCAAAATTTTTCATTGATAAAGAAATTAGCTGTGGCTGAGTTATCGCAAACATCAATGATCAGCTCAGATGAGGCGAAGCTTTGGTGAAAGTCGACAAAACTATTTGAACAGTGTTTTTTAGTAAAGCAGGATCAAAGCTGAGCAACGTTCCTCCTCTTCCTCACGTAACTCCTTTCTTGCATTCACTTTTCGTCGATTTACTACGTTTTATCTTTAAATTTACCTCACAAACCCCTATCCCGTCATGGCATTTTTGTTGTCCATGGGATGTAGTTAAGCTATTGGATAATAACACGTTGTCGAGCCTTAATGTAACGAGTCGCAATAAAGTACTTTTGGTATTTTGCGTTGGCAAAGGGCATCCAACAAGACTGTCCAATAATTAATCATTTATTGCCCTTTGTCTTCCCCTAACTTAACGCTTTGGCAGTTACCGATAGCAATGTTATCCAAAACGATAGTAATGATTGTTTTAATATTTCTGTATAGGGCTTTTTTCTTGTGTTCACGTTGCTATTCCTGCCCGCGCACATGTCAATCAGATGCATGCCTTTTGAGCAGCATTACTATATATACTCGTCAGCCGTACGTGAACGCTAGAGTAATGCTTCCGTGCTCGAAACTGATCATCCTACACCACTGAGCACATTTTTTTTGTACTTCGGGTCATCGAAGCGCACCCATTCTTTATACTCAACAGTGCTTTATTTCCGTAGCCTTGACCAGAAACAGCACACGGTAACTATTATACCTGAAACTTTTTTTTGCAATGTGTTCTGCGAAATTACAAGATTATCTGCTTAACGACCTGCTACGATGCCTCCGGGGGTTCCAGTTGCCGTTAGAGCGACTTGTGATTAGATAATACTCCAAGTACCATTGAAACGTTGTTGATTAGTAATTACTCCATGTACCAGTGAAACATTCACATTAAGAAAATATAGAATGGTGAACGAGCTAAAAGTTTCAATTCGCAATCTTGACACGAAAAATTCTACTGCATTCTGAGGAACAAACCTGTGGAAGTCCAACATCGAGCGGCCGCTCCATGCGGTTTAAATAGCGCGCCAATAGATGCCGCGCGCCCTTTAGCATAAGCAGCATGCGCACGTAGAGCTTCGTTTTTCTCAAATTGTGTTTTTTTTTCTCTATTGTTGTTCACTTCAAGGTCTTTTTCTCAAATGTATTAAATTTATTTCGGTGAAACTTTGCTATACTGAGTTACAAGTTGGAAACAATCAGAAGTAGAAAATTGCTGACTTCTTAAAAGGCGAACCAGTAAAAAAATATACACGGCAGTACGCACTCTCTGTGGCTTTGTGAATGCAATGTTTTAATTTTATTTATGTATAAAACTCTATAAAGGATCTCCTGTTTATCTAGTCGAGATATAACTTACGATTCTCTGCAATAACACGGCTGAATATCATTACATCTGTGTCGCTACTTGCAGAGAAAAGGTGCATTGAATAAGTGCACTGACCTGACTTTCAAATTTTGTGGTGGGCCATAAGAACGATGGGCAACAGCAAAAAAGAGGTTGTCAGGTGATACCCAACATCATACTTTGTGAGCACGTGAAATTTTGTGAGAATATTGGAGCCGTTTTAGGGGCGTTTGTTATCAACTACCCTTCTCTGATTTCGGGTTTATCAGCCAACTTACCTCTATCATAAGCCAGCCTTTCATTGCCCATATAAAAACACAACTGCATTCACTCGCCATCTTTAATTTTCTCTAACACAGTGGCATACTAGGGACTTGTATGCACTTATAGGTAGAAACGAAAATACAGGTTTTCTAGATATGTGCCTAACTTTTTATAAGACGCAACTCGCAACTGCAGCAGCGCGCGATTACCAAGATGTCGCTGATTTTAGATTGAGCAATAATCTGGAAAACTCACCCCAGGCCCACGGCAGCAAATATGAGGATACGTCGGAGCTTTGGTCATTCCTGCGGGTGTTTTTTCTGTCTTTCAATACGTTAAACAACACCAGATGGTCGAAATTCTTGGAGCCCTTCACTATGGCGTCTCTCATAAACATATCGTGGTTTTGGAATGTTAAAGCCCCCATAATATTGTACGTCGTTATGATCATTGGTGTAGTTCCCATCTTTGGTGCCATATGTGCGTTTTGCTGCAATTCTCGGTGGCATTGCTTCTGTTTAGCTGCAGCTGTTTGATTTATTGCTGTGGTGAGGGATTCGTTCTCTTTTTTTGTTTTTGTCGTTGAGCTCACGTTTCTTTTTTTTAGTTTGCACCTCAAGGTTAACAGCCTCCCTTTGCTGCTGCTTGATCCTGCTTCTAAAGTTCAGGGTTTCCGACTCGACGTCAGCGCTGCCACTCGAGCCTTGTGGAGTCCACAGCCCCACCTCGCAGCATGGTGCACCTGCTCCGATACCATTATCTCTTGGTCACGTGACCTATTTCTGCTCCCGAGTGACGCGTGATGAGCAACTGTCGACGTAGAACTGCTCCGGTGTTAAATAGGACGGGGTATGCAAGAAACAAAAACACATAGCAACAATTCGCGATCCGGTGAGCTTAGAAGCCATGATGTGGACAAGATGCGACAGTAGCGAATTACTTAAAAGCGGCGCGATGCACGATCAGATACAAATTCCTTGTTTCTGTGAAAAACATCATATAATTTCACAAAGCAAACGCGGATGTGATATAGAGCCGCTGCGATTCGAGGGATCCTTGAATGCTTACGCCAGACTTGTTTTGAAAATCTAGCACCGCTTAGAAAAAAATCTGCAAGAATCAGAGGAAATGGTTCTTTTATTCACTCCCGATAAACTGTCCAAGTATATGCAGGCAAACTTGCTTGCTGAATATGAAAGAAGGCTGCAATATTAAGCATAGCAACCTAGCAACAATTTGCTCGTATTCATGCGCAAAAAATTTTCACGCTGAGAAACGCAATTGATGTGGTTATCTTTGCTTTAGATGCAAAGCATGTGCAGCGCGCATTTTGCAACCGCGAACTGTTATATACCTTTCCGCATGTACATAATGACAAACGTTAGTTGTACATTTAGGTGTAAACATGACGTACTCAATTAATAAACAATGCTGCGTTGTTTATGGCTCAAAGTGAATCGCCAGAACCGATGCAGAACGGGCCTCCTCGCTCAGCGGTGTTACATAAAGTTCGTAACAACCGTACCCATAGGCCTTCATAAGTAGCTGCCTAATGGTGAGCGAGTGAGTGAAATACCTTTATTGGGTCCACAATAGATGCCAATCCACTCAGAGTCAGCTGGCTATATCAGGTTAAACCTGCCCGCGGGAACCTGACCACCCTTACCCGGGCCCTGAGCAGCCTGAATTTGAGAGGTGTGGTCTTGAGCTTTAATCAGCTTGTGCATTTTCTCTTCTTATGGGGAATCGGCAAACGCACACACCATATAAGACATGCTCGAAGTCCGCATGACCGTCCCAAAAGGAGCCATCTGGGCTTGAGAATCGTTCGGGGTATATTGTGTGCAGGGCCGCTGGGCTCTTGTAGGTTCTTGTTTGGAGCAGTCTGAGAGTAACAGCTTGGGCCCTGCAGAGCGAGGAGTGTGGTATGGGCAGCGCTCTTCTTGAGAGATAATGGGGCTTGCATATTAGTTGTACGTGCACAGAAGCTCGGACAACCCAGAAGATGACGCGTTACTCGGGGCACGGTCAGTCAAACCTCATGCAGCCGAATGCGCTTGGTCGTTCAGACTGATCGAAGCACCCTCAATGGGTCCGAGGTGACAGGAAACCAGACCAATGAGTAATTTTTGAGGCATTTGGCTTTTTTAAGGATCTGTGGGACCTGGAGAGCCAGTATACTCATTTGAAATGGCTTGATGGCAGCCTCTGAGTCTGAATAAATTGCCTCCGTACGTTAATGCAAGGGTAATGGCAACCTTCTCTGCAACGCTAGAGCTAGAAGCGCGGATGGTAGTACAGCTAATTACTTCACAATCACAACCAATAACCACGGACAAGAACGCTTCTTTGCGTGGTTAAATATGATTAGCCCAAGTATAGCATAGCGACAGCTTGTGAGCCTCGCATCTCTTCTCTTTCATCTATGGCTGGTGAAGTGGCTGCCATACAGCTGCTTTTGTAGCAACAACTATACCGCATCTGCATCTGCCCTTCAAGACAGCACACAAGCGTTGCTATGCTCATTCACGCGCTCGGAAAAGAGAAAACGTGCACAGAAGAACCGATGCACCCAGCACCTCTGGCGATGGCGGCACGACAGAAATTTTTGAGAATTGGTTCATTTAACCGCTTCGGTACAGTTGTAACACTAACATTACGCCATTTTTCGCATTCGCGAACGCGCCGCACTAGAACTGCGCTGACCCTTCTTGAGCGTCGTTGTGACAAGTTAATGGCGTGGAATAAATCACGCGATAAAAGTGCTAATACGCTGCATAAATACCGGTGTGAACTCATTAGCGTGAACTTTGCACCAACTCGCAGCCAACCTGTAAATACTTTCGGCAGCGCTGACCCATGATCTTGGCCGAGCTTGAAAGTCAAAATTACAGAAGCAGACGTTTCAGGGTTTTTGACCTGAGAGGGTTGAGCTGTAAATCTAAGATACTGCATTTTACACTGTTTCATCCCGTGTGGCACAAGCGGCATGAGCATAACCTTGTGCAATAGTACGAGGCAAGAGCATAACCTTGCGCAATAGTAAGAGGCCAAAATTCGGAAATTTTGATGCAAGACTACATCCTAGAACTAAAACTTTCATTGCAAACAGGTGGGTCTGACGTCGCATGCCTCTTTCGTTTCTTCATGCAACAGAAAAACCTTCACTTGCTAATGATGGTCAAATTCCAGTGCATGGTGATGCTAATATTTATTATCTTCAAACTGTCACAATCTACGCCATTAGGTAAGTGATATGCTGTTTCGCACAGCATGCATTCTAGCATGCGTGCGCATTTACACCTGAACAAAAAAGTTTGTGCTTTCGGAAAGTGAAAGTATTCATGCATGGCAATAAAGAAAAAGATCTTCGTCAGCAAAGACGAAGGCTTTTGTTTGGAAGAGCTTCGCCTTTAGTCCGCTGTTTTAACAGCGGCGCTGTTTAGGCTTGGGTTCTGCCCGCAGCCGGTGACCGCTCAAAATTCGGCGCGTCTGTTCAAATCGAAGCGGAAGCATAGCATAGAAATGTGTATGATGGTAAAGTGTACTATAGCATATTTTAGTAATGTAGATCAAAGGGTGGGAAATAGGACTGACAATGAGGAGTAGTGTGAGCATCAGGACCGGAGACGGTCAAGCATAGCATAGCTATGTAAGAGGAAGGAAAGTAAGAACGAGAAGTGATGTGAAGGTCGCGCGGATGAAAGGAGAGCAAAGAGGAAGAGCGAAACGTATCCCTGCTATGCAGAGTGCAGTTTAGAATAGGGGTGGTAAAGGGAGGCAAAGATAAGTGAACTGCCTACTTGTCCAATCACTCACGTTATTCCGTAAGTAGGAGCTATATGAGGGCGAGGAGGAGAGCAAAGAAGAGGGCAAGAGGAAGAGGGCAAAGCATAGCATAGCCATTTCTACCATAGAATTATGATGAATCGGAAATAAAATCGAGGAGAATGATAGGGGATAAGAGGAGGGAAGTGTGCATCGCGTATTATCGCATGGCAGTCCATGCACTATTACCTTGCTCAGTCCTACGCGTCGAAACAAAGCCTAAAATATTATACGTACTTGAACACACGTCTCCATAGGCCGTACTACTGGGCATTTGTTACCCGCTACCCAGCACCACTTCCAATTTTCTCCGCCCACGTACCTATATTACAAGCCAGCCTTTGGCTGCCCATCCAAATATACCCCTGCAATCATTTGCCAACTTTAACCTTCTCTAAATAGACTAGCGTGCTAGCGAATGCTATACACCTACTCGTGAAAGCAAAAAAAGAGGTTTTCTAGATATCCGTCTCTATTTCTCGCAACTGCACCAGTGCATGTTTAGACACATGCAGCTGATGTATCTTTGATTAAACCAGGGGCAGACCCAGCCACTCTCTTTAGGGAGCGTGGTCACCTGTCATACCACCTAAGCGCGGGGAGAGGGGGGGGGTGGAAGGTGTGGTCATGATTTTTTCGTTTTTACTGGAAAAAGAAACGCCTGCATAGCACAAGTACGGGGGGTGCTGACACAAACGTATGGGGGAGGTATCCCGCCTTCTCCCCCCTTTAGAATTCCCCACTGGATTGAACAATAATCATAACAGCGTATTACACGTTCGTATGGCACTTCGGAAAGCCTTACAAAACTATTAGTTAACGACAGTGCACGCCCCGTAATATTGCATGGCGAAAATTCATGTCTAACAAATATCCAAAGTCAATTTCAAACCCTCTACTTGTATCTCAGCACCCCAGTGGTACTAAAGCTAAACTGAAGTAAAACTTCCCAAGGTAACTGATGCTCATTATTTCTAAAAAAAATAGACATTCTTCTCACAAAAGAATAATCACTAAGACATCTCAGAAAAAAAATACAATGTAGCGCCACACCGGTGTTGACCAGCTGCCGCGCATAAAAACTGGATAGCTGCGTGGCTTGTGACGGCCCATGGCTCCTGACCACGCTGTTTGTATCTTACACCATGCTCCTGACCTAGCTGGATGCCACGGCCGCAGCCACTTCGGTCTTGCGCTTCGCCCGCGTCCCAATAAAGATGCGACCACGGCACAGCCTCGTTGTCCGCCGTTACCTCTCTCTGCTTGCGAATAAGGAAACAAGCTGGAAGAAAAATTAAAGTTCAAATAATTACAATTTTTATGTATTTCCACTTCGATTAAAGTTCATATGCTTATGAGCAGCTAACACTAGAAAAGCGTTCCCCGTGAAAAGGTAACAGTTTATGCGCGATCCAATCTTCATCAGGCTCGTAGACCTTTCGCAATGGTGTGCTTTATGGCCGAGAGTCGGGGCTCTTACTTTTCAAAAAGAAAATGATTTTCACTTTTAACTGTCCGATTCTGTTTTTTCACATACACTGTCCCAGCTCCCACACCCAACTTCCAAGCAGACGAAGGGTTGACACTGGCTCCCTCTATGCAAGGCTCCCCAACTTCCCCAAAGCATCTCACCTGTTCCCTCGTGCATTCTCTTGGGACATCACCCTGTTTTCTCGCTTTTTTTTAAATGTAAGTGTCAGTCACATTTTAGTACTTATTATATCTATGCAAAGCAGCTTATGGCCGAGCTCAATCCAGTGTGTGTCACCAACCTTACTCACTGCGCATGCGCAACAGCTTGCCCAAGCACTCACACGATAGCGTGTTCGGGCCTGTGCAAGGGGCTGGAAAACCGTTAGATGCGGTGGCCTCTCCCCTCACACTCTCTCAGCAATCACGTGATGGCATCGGCCGCAGGTCACGGGTCGAATCCCGGCTGCGGCAGCTGTATTTTCGACTGTATTCCCCGCCGCGGTAGTCTAGTAACTAAGGCACTCTGCTGCCGACCCGCAGGTCACAGGATTGAATTCCGGCTGCGGCGGCTGCTCCAGCGGAAATGCTGTAGGCCCATGTGCTCAGATTTGGGTGCACGTTACAGAACCCCAGGTGGTCGAAATTTCCGGAGCCTTCCACTACGGCGTCTTTAATATTCATATGGTGGCTTCGGGACGTTAAACCCCACATATCAATCAATCAAAATGTTGTAGTAGGCCCGTGTGCTCAGAATCGGGTGCTCAGATATCACGACCCCAGGTTGTGAAAATTTTCAGAGCCCTCCCCCCCCCCCCCATTACAGCGTCTCTGATAATCATATGGTTGTTTAGAGACGTTGAACTCCACTCATCAACGAGATGGCCTAGGGGAACGATGTTCCGCAGATGCGCGATGAAAGCACGTGCTCCTGCGTAGCATGGCGGTGTTTTTTTTTTTCTCCCTTCTAAGATTGGAGGTGAATAGAGCTCTGCGTTCAGGAGCTCAGAACTTGCACATCAACTCAGGGCTGTCCAGAGGACCCACGACGCGGGAGTGAGGCTTGGCCTTCCCGTTCCGACATGGGAGCGGCACACTGCTCTACCTAGATCCTTAAGGTAGTGTTCCTCGGAACCTCAATAAAGTTCTGTGTCTGTCTCTCTGTTTTATAATTTAAAAAAGCCTGGTCACCTACACCTAAGTCTACATTAAAGGTCTCGCGTTCGATCATAGCCACAGTTGTCGCGTTTAGTTATGGACGAAATGGTAGAGATCCGTGTATACTGCGTCATGTCAGGGCACGTTAAAGAGCACGAGATGGTCGTAATCTTCATAGTCTTACACTACGGCTTTCCTCCTATCATAACCTGGTTCTGGGACGCAGAACCTCAGTTATTGTCAATAAGACTACAGGTATATATGAAATGGTCAGGCTGATTACATATCTACTGCTTGATTGATATGTGGGAATTAACGTCCCATAACCACCATATGATTATGAGAGACGCGGTAGTGGAGTGCTCCGGAAATTTCGACCACCTGGGGTTCTTTACCGTGTACCCAAATCTTCCTATCAACTGCTGACCTTGGCAGATGACAACTTTTAATAGCCACACCACTGGGCATGACTTCACTGACTGACCCATTAAAAATAATAAGTCAGGGATGGAAAGGCACCTTTGAAAAAGGACACACCTATCGAAACATCGGTAAGCCTGGCTGCAGCACTCGCTGCTGTCAACGATGCCTGCCCATCATGTTATTTTCGTGCATAAGCTTTCACCAGTGCGTTTCATTCAAATTCCCTGAGATCCATTTCCTTAGGGAGCCATCACCGAGGCTTTGCGCGCTTTGTTTTTAATCTCGTCTTGTCATATATACAGCTTTCGCTGTAAAATCCTGAGCATGAAACCGTTGTAGTTTAACACAGTGCAAAACCGAAAGAGCATGACTGAATTGCGTAATATCTTTTTTTTTTTTTGCTGCTGTCTCTGATCTGGTGGTGACAGGTTATTATTGGAACGCTCCAATTCCGTCAGCAATAAATATTATTGGGGAACCTAATGTCGCTCACGGATGCCCAACTGTCTACCCACAGGTAAAAGCTATTTTGCTACTCGCATCATTTCATACGCGAGAATTCGGGAAACTCGTTGCGTGATATTGCCAATCCACCTGCATTATTGAACATCACCAGGCTTGGTAAACTAAAGCTGTATGGTAGTTAACGAAAAACCTTCAGTTTTCAAACGAAACTTTTTACCTTGATATTACCAATGATGGAAAATCACGGTGCACACATTTGCTTGGCGCTGCCCCTAATACTTGGCTTCTAAAAACGGTTCATTTCAAGGCAAGTGCCGTAGAAGGCTAGAAAGGCAGGCCGCAAAGGCGTGCACTCTTCGTTCAGGCTTAGTATCTCTAGCGCGAAGGCGCCTTAATTTTTTGTTCTTTTCGCTATGATTTATGTTTGAGGGCTATCCCATATCTGATGTACTGTACTTAAGTACTCTCTTTCCACGTCACGTTACATGCTACTCTTGTATTAAAAATTGTTTCATGAAGTGCTTCTGAGAATCTGTCGCAAGCCTTGCTTTGAATCGAGCGTTAAGATAGTCTGAATGAAGTTTAATAATACTCTGACGGCTGCATTTTATTTATTATATGCCAGAGTTCTTGCGAGGGGGTGTTTGAGGGGCGTATAGGTAGAAAATTTTGTGCGCGGGTAGGGGCACTTCCTTGATCTGAAGAGGAAGCGGGCAGGCAGACCTCGTCGAGAGTTATTTTCGGATCTCTATGTCATGCCGAAAAAAAAATTCGAAGTGGGGGTGGGGAGAGAAGGCGGGGGGCACGGGCTTGCTGTACTACCTCCTGGCTACGGCACTGGACTCTTCTTATATTAGAGATACTTGAACAGCAGTGTTCAAGTGAGGTGTCATCTAAATGCATGTAGTACAAAATGTTAGCTTTAGAAAGTTTGGTACAGCTATTTATTGCGAATGGTGGGAAGTGTCGTCTCAAGACAGCACCAATGCCTAAAAGTGAGCAATGTGCATCTAGTGAGCATTGTTAGATTCACCAGAAAGCCGACACCTTTATCGGTGGCACGTCATCTAGTGAGCATTTCTTAAATCACCGGAAAAGTGTACACGCGTCCGCCACCGCAGTACAAGGTACAAGCATAAGAATTTAAGCTTGCCCAGCATGCTCCTAAAAACGGCAACGCAAGTTATGGCCAAAGACGTCTGCGCTAAATCCTTTCTTCATGGTAAAGACCCACATGTCAGGTTTCCCTTTCCGGGTGATTGTATAAGACAAGGGCACGAGATTGAAGGCCCTCGCTGTATGCCTTCAAAATCACCTGGTAAAACCTGACGTGCGCCCTTTCTTGATTCGCAACTGAGCGGAAGTTATGTTTTCTGGAAGACCGCAACCCGATATGTGCATTATTCATAGATATGACTGACATGTTGTACAGCATTACACAAAAGCAGCAGCCGAGGCTGTTCAGCAAGCAACTGAAGGCTGCGGGGTGACGAAATTTGAACAAAAGCGGCACGTCAGTGCGGAGCTTCATTGAATTCCGATATATATACGATACCTATCGCTTTCTGTGGGAAGACTTTGCTCCATTATGACAGATTAATGATATAATCAAGTAGTGCTCCTGCGTTAGGTGACCTTTGGTCCAGTGCTCGGTGACCAACGATCTAGCTTTCTGCATTCGCAAGTTCCGTTGACTGTCACGCCACCCTACTACCGTCAGCGTAATTTTTTCTAAGTATCGGAGACGCGCCGGGGCAGCGACGCTCATAACATGAGCATGTACGTCTTGGTTGGCCTTGGCCTTTACCTAGAACGATTCGTTGTAGTTACCGGGAGCACAAAAGTCACTACAATCATTGCAGTCTCTGTTCGCGAAAAGCACGGACACAGCGAAGTAACAACTCGGACGCCTATTCGCGTTCATCTGTACCTGCACATGTGAGTAGGTTTCGTGTGTAATTTGTGCGTGAAAAACGCGGGGCACGTTTCGATCGGCTTGCCATTTGGTGCGTGACCTTCCAATTTGTTGCTGTCGCGTTTATTGCTTCGCCTTTGCGAAAAAGCTGTGAAGTTTTGTTCGGAAATGCGTTCGAAATATCGGCTTTGTGATAACTCAGTCAAAATCTCACATCGGTAAGTATCCGCTTAAGATTGACGACGTGAAAGAAAACACAAAGTTTTATAGCATTATTTGGGTTTTTGCGTGACAAACCACGTAATGATCGTGAAGCACGCCTTTAGTGGAGGGCAACGTTCACGGACATCGCGCGCCCCAAATTATGTGCTTGGCATTCAAGACCTCTTTGCCTTCAACGAGGCATCGTATCCGAAATTCTGAAGCGTCCAGGTGGCGCATAATACGGAACTGCAAAAACGGTAGGACCATCGCGAAGCAAAAGTAAATAAATAAATAAATAAATAAATAAATAAATAAATAAATAAATAAATAAATAAATAAATAAAGACTGCAGTGCAGGCCGCAAATCTGCTAGCAACTCCGATACTTTCTGAGGGCACCATATGAAGTTACCCTGTGCGCCCCCTATAGGCGACGAAACTTCCGAATAGCTAGAGTGATCAGAGACCGACAAAGATCCACACGTCTGTGCGGAGCTTCATTGAATTACTTCGGATATATCTCCATGTCACTGTTTGTCGCTTTGTGCGGGAAGACAATATTATTCAGAATTAACAGACAATATTGCCAGGGAAAGAGTATTGGACGTCATCAGAGGTAATTGTAATGTAAAAGTGAAGAAAAAAAAGTGGACGAAAAGATAACTTGCTCTGGGCAAGGACCGAACTTGCTAGGGGCAAGTCACTTTCATCTACTTTTATTTCTTCACGTTTACATTACAATTACTTCTAATACGTCCTGTACATTTCTTGGAATTATTTTCTGTTAGTTCTGATTATTGTTGTGTTTCACAAAGAAAAAGATACCTTAAATTTACACTTTCCTTCTGTTGCAAGACTTTACTCCTAAATGACGGAATTCGTGCCGGATAAAAATTGTTCGTGTTCCGTGGTCTTTATTGGCAAGAAACAATAGGAAACTACAAGTATCTGTGCGATGAAGTGCGTCATGTACGCCGATGATTTGCGCGTGCACCTTCCCTAAGAGTGGATGTCTGAAAAGGCAAATATGGCGAGTTCAGTTTGTTTGCAAGGGAGAACCAGGGGCTGCGGTACACATTTTAGGCTCCGGAGAGCAGACGCCTACAGTATCTCAATTTTGGCGTCCCATTTTAAGGAAAGAACACGTTCTGAACATAGAGGACAAAATGTGAAAAGAAGATATGGCCGTTTGGCTTCGGGCATTCAAAGATTGTGAAAAGAAGCATTGCCACGGTGTATACTATGGAGGCAATGAATAAATCGTGCGAACACTCAATCGAGGCCTCCTGGTATGAGTGCGTACCCACGTCAGTTGTGGCTATCTGTGGTTTTGTTCCTTTTGCTAAAAAGCATAACTGCCAAGAGATGAAAGGTCACCTTTTGTAGCATTACCGTAGACGCATACGGTGGCTCAAGGAAAAAAGAACGTTGCTGCAGGGTACGTTGTGAGGGCAGTTTTACTGCGCAGTAAAAGCTGATAATATTGTGCGCAAAAGTAAACAGCTGCCATGACCCAAACGAACATGGGGTGCGCATGACCAATCATGCAAGAAAGTTCACTGAACGTGCGAAGAACGTCGCCTACAGGATCCCACTGTCCTTCGGTACTCATTACGCTTGACATAGGCTAAGGTGCGTCCACGAGAGGTTGCGAGAGCACCAGTGCAACTGTGGCGTCCTGCAAGCTCTTTCAAAGCATCTGGCGACATACTGCAGCAGAAGCCTGGGTAGTCCTGTGTTAGAAAAAAAACTGAATTTGTACAGAGGTTGCGATATTACACGAAAGTAGAGGTCCTCGATGCCGTGACTATAAAAACGTCAAAAGAGGGCACGCGCGTCAGCGCGCTATCTATATAGTGCTAAACCCAATGTAAATTGCGCTGCTAAACGAGGACAGGCAGGGTCGGTAGCTTATACAGCTGTGCGCACACACGTAGTTTCTGTATAGCTATTGTATGGTCATCTACAAATTAAACAGTTTGCGCTGACGTGTTTGTACATCTTTCGTCGCTGTCTTGAGTTTTTTTTTTGTAAAGCTTGCGCAAAAAACGATCATATATGGATCCTACACCATCCTCTCCGAAAGTTTTAGGCACCTGGAACAATCTTGCAGGGCCTACAAGACCGGATGCATCTCATGCTTTATGTACTTCGCCTGCTTCTTCACTGCCACTGCGAACGGTCTACATTTGACCAATGTCATGTGACGGCGATATCCCGTGATATCACGCATTGTGACGTTGTCGCGACGCCTGATGACGTCACAAATTTAAGTGGAATGTGGCGTCATCATGTGATGTTGATTTCTTGCATCACTCATGTTCACGATGATGGTCAATTTTCCCGTTTTATGGGGCCCCCAATGCCTTCTCCTAATATCGTACCTCTAAGCAGCCGAATTTCTCACATGTACATGCGCAAAACTTAGATTTACTGATATCATTTTGGGCGCTTACTGTTTTCCAGGAAGCAGGCATCAGAGACTGCAGTTACTACTGCAAATACGTGCCTGAAAACAAGACGTGGCTCTACGGATTTTTCACAGACGGCATATACTGCTGGGTAAGATGACATGACGTTTATTTTCATGTACCGCTTCTTCACAGTACTGACGCTTTTATTTCTAGCATGGATCCTAGCAAAGGTTTTATTCTCGCTAACTTCAGGAGGCTAAATTCAAAGGTTCCTTTTCGAGAAGCTGTCTAGGGTACGCGTAACGATTAAGCTATTAGTTTAAATAATTTTGTGTACATCGTGTGTTAAAGATATAGACGCCATACCTTTGTTCATTCACTTTAGCGCACAGGCAATTTCACATTACGTGAACCATTCTACATGTGCACAGCCTCATAAAATTGTCTTGGTTCCATTGCTTCCAACTATTCGTCTCTGTCACTCGTTCATAGTTCTTCCATCCCAAGTTGTAACAATCAGTTCTGCTGAGCACTTAAGAAACATTTTACCAATATCGCTGCGCCACATTTTGTTATGAAGCGTTGGACAAACATTCCACATCTGTCGCAGGCGTGTACGTTTGCCTGGCGCACACAGTCATGGCTGGCTCATACCAGCCTCTAGATGCAGCAGACTGATTCCAGCAGCAACGTACTAGTAGCTCTTCACGCGTTCTCTCTCGGCGCCAAACTTTACTTAAAAGTGGTAGAATCCAGAGCTCTACGTATGATCAGCATTAATGCATGCACAAATGCGAATAATTGCAGTTCTTGTCCGTGTATAGCAAACCACATCAATCGTATGCATTAAAAGCCTCTTAACACGAAAGCGTTAAAGATAATATTTCGCAGTAATTCCGCTGTCAGCGGTAACGGCGTCGTCATCGTTGTCGTTGATTGTGAGCGAAAAATAATAATCTTATGCGTGCCCGAAAAATCGAGAACCATTCTCGATTTTTCGGGCACGCATAAGATTATTATTGGATGCAAATAAAACAAGTTATGAAAACTTTTTTCGGTAGACAACGGGGATCCAACCTGGGCCGTTTGGGTTTGGGTCCGAGCAGAGATCGAACCCGGGTCGTTTGCGCAGCAAGCGGATGTTCTACCACAGAGCCACGTGTCTATTTTTTTTCTTTAATACATGAAATCACCAGTGAACCAGTGAAGTACGCACAACATACTTCATCAGAAGTCAAGCAATGACGCAAACGTCAGGAAGGGGAAGCAACTACGGAAGGGGGTCAAAAGTCTCAACAACACTACGCACTTAAGGAAATACACTGAAAATAGCTTCCTTTGCTTGTAAATGCAGCAAAAGAAGCTTGCATACTTTAAACCACCCGCGCCCTCTATGCATGCTTCACAATACAAAAAGTAATATCGCAGTAATAATGCGTGCTACAAGCATACATTGATCGGACGTCAGAGCATGCGATTATGATGACTTCATCGTTTGAAGCGGGCCACCCACTACAAAAGGCACACTCGTTACTGCGCCTCTTCCCTTAAGCCCACGTACAGTGGGTGCATAATCATGTTAGAAATGATTTCACGCGCAAACTTGCCAAGGCTTAAAGCATGCTAGCCATTACACAGAATGCAGCACTCTAAAAAAATATCTCGTAAAAAGGGTGTCTTTTTGTTTCACAACAATAATCGTCATCAGGCTTGCGTGCACTTCCTTTCTTGAAAACTCGGCGCTGGCCAATTTCCTATTGAGAATGCAATGTAACCCTGATAATGGGCATGTCGATTCTGACCGGAATATACGGGGTGCGGGGCGATAGTGCAAGGATGGAACGCATTATATATGACGATTATTGTTGTGGGACAAAAAAGACACCCTTTTTACTCGCTCTTTTTTTTTAAAGTGAGCCGCAAGTGAAAGCTTCACCGATACAAGCCATTTTGAACTTAGCACGCATTATAGGAACAGGATATCGCTATCGCGTTCAACTCTTATCGCTTATGGATCTCTCAATTGTTTTCTTCCACCTTGCTCATGGCATGCCACTTTTCGATGAAAACGCCGGTGGCATTTTAATGTGCACATCGATACGTTCACTCTTTTTACTACATATTGTAAAAAATTTTGTGCGCCATGAAGTTTAAACAATGGGAAAACTTTTACATGGAGATCGTTACATGCATACACATCGACACGAGTAATGAAACTACAAAACCATGGCTCGCAAACGCTGCCTTACTACATTAAAAGAGTATTCAACACTAGCCAAAGTACAAAAGTCTTTAAATATTTAAATTTAAAATAATACTCAAGTGCGGAATACGGTTACCAACAATCCTGAAGCGTGCGAGACTGTCCCGATTTTCCACGTACTGTCTTGAGTACCATGCCGCTTTTGTTGGGACAGCTACATGTCCCACTTTTGTTTCGGAATGTCTAGTTGGAAATTTCTATGTCTCGGCTGCGGCGGCTGCATTTTCGATAGAGGCGGAAGTATTGTAGGCCCGTGTGCTCAGATTCGGGTGCACGTTAAAGATCTCTAGGTGGTCGAAATTTCCAGAGCCCTCCACTACGGCGTCTCTTATAACCATATGGTGGTCTTGGGACGTTAAACTCCACATATCAATCAATCAATCAATCTATCTATCTATCTATCTATCTATGTGATCGAACGCACGCCCAGCGGTGAGCCTCACGCTAAAGAGCACGAAGGTAGCGCAGATCTCCATGTGCGAATTTTGTGCGAACTTCAACTGAATTTTCACGGGAAGTGTGACAACACTAATTATCCAGCAAGAGTAAGTGCTGCGAACAACACGTATAGCCAGCTGAAGTGTTTCAACAGTCAGGAACTGTAAAGAAACAACGTCTCTCTGTTGAAGATACCACGACAATGAGAACTTATTTTGCTGGCTCGCTATGTAATCCTTGTCGGCTTAGTGTTTTTTAAGACTTCATACATCTCTACTGAGCCGAATGCCTTTTTGTATATTATGAAGGCTAAATGAAGCGCTTTGTTGTATTCAGCACCTTTCTTCATTGACCTGTTTATCACATGAGTAATCTATAGTAGCGTCCTTCCTTGAATCCGTCTTGTACTTTCAGTTGGTTAAACTCAAGTGTTTTTTTTTTATCATGTTTGAAATTACCTTGCCCCGCTGCGGTGGTCTAGTGGCTAAGGTACTCGGCTGCTGACCCGCAGGTAGCGGGATCGAATCCCGGCTGCGGCGGCTGCATTTCCGCCTCCGTCGGAAATGTTGTAGGCCCGTGTGCTCAGATCTGGGTGCACGTTAAATAACCCCAGGTGGTCGAAATTTCCGTAGCGCTTTACTGCGGCGCCTCTCATGATCATATTGCAACGTAGCTGACATATCAGCGGTAAGAAGACGACGAGGAAGTGGTCTTTCGGTTGTGCGTGCTGTCCCCCACCTTAATCGATGCTATACGCATCAGTGTCAATATAGATTCTAAATAGATACGCCTCGTGTCATTTTTTACGTAACTATATGGTGGTTTTGGGACGTTAAACCCCACATATCAATCTATTTGAAATTACCTTTGCAAATATTTGGTATCAGGTTGAAAGTCAGATGATGGGTCAATAATTATTATGTCTCCTTGATTTTGCATCAGTATAATGTTGGCTGTTTACAACTCACTGGAACCGATAGTTATAGCGCGAGAACAAAACGATGACACGGAGACAAGAAGGACATTGTCTCTGTGTCGTCGTTTTGTTCTCGCGCTGTAACTATCCTCATACCATGCCAACTAGCCCAAGCTGCCACACGTCTAAGTCACTGGAACCATTGCCGTTTCCAGGCACTGAGTACAAACTGTAGCGACTTTCTTCGAAATCAGTTTTCCAGCGTCGTTAATTATATCACCTGTTATTCCGTCATCGTCGGCTGCCTTTTCCTCGCAGCACACCACGTATGGGCTTTCCAACCACGTCGGTACTTATGTGACTCCTATATCTTTCTCACCGCTGCTTCCACTCGTGGTTGAAAGGCTTATTGTCGAGCTGTATTGCTCACCCTGAAATTCCTCTGCCAGCCGATCTATTTCGTTAAAGTTGTTGATAATATTGCCGTACTAGTCTTTGAGAGTGCGTATTTAATTCCCCCCAATAAGGAGTCTCTTTTTTCGTGTTTAAATATAGGTGCCTCTTTTTACTGCTGCTTCTATCACCTTGATATAGTTCTTTATCTTCCGGACCGCCTTTTCTTCCATGAGCTTTGTCAGCTTACTGAACTTTTTAATTGAGGTATTGACTTAGACTCCCTCTTGTGTTGACTTTCTCTATTATGTATCTCGCGGATTGGGAAGGCTTGCGTAGTACTTGTCCTCGTGCTTTACCCCCAACTTCGACAGCTACTTAAGAGATTATTCTAGTGACTGTTTCATTCATTCCTTCGATATCAGCATCACCCTCTGCTCCTAAAGCTGCGAATTTGTTTTCAATCTATATACTACAATCCTGCAACTTTATTCCGTCGTTTAAATTCGTTTTTTTTTTTCGCCGGTAATCGTGCATGAGATATTCTCGAATTAAGGGCTATTTTCACCCTCGATACCTATATGGTCAATGCATTTCGCCTGGCTAATAATATCAACGTCCTACATTATGCCAGGGTTAGCACACGTTTCAAAATCAATTTTGTCATTTGCTCGTTAGGGGTTTTTCAAGGACACTTTTTATTGTTACACTTTCGAAAAATCTGTGTTCAACATGGGAAGCGCATTTCACTCCGCGAATTCTATATAAACTCACAGCTCTCTGCCGTTGTTTGTACAGTCAAAGCCTTTATTACTAACTGCTTTTTACCCGTTGTGTCTTCTGAATACTTTTGCATTTAATTTTCTCACAATTATGGCGTACCGGACACGTACTTTTCTCATTGCTAGTTCGATATACTCCTATAGCTATTGTACTTCTTCCTCGTTATGGCTGCTTTAATATGAGTTTGTATGACGAGGCTAGCTACCTTTTTGTTCTCTTCCATATTGAAACTCTTCAAAGTTCTCTTCAATGTTGAACTCTCTTTTGTCCTCTTCAATGTTGAACTCTTCATTGCTGCATGCGAAGACTTTCTGAACTTTAAACCCGACGCCACATTCTTTCTTGTGACGAAGTCTGCCTTCCCTTAAATATTTTTTGTGCGTTTTTTGTATTAGATGACCACGTGTTTTTTGCCACGCTACGCCAAAACTGCTGACCCCGATGAAACAACCCTGAGCATAACGTTCTCCGTGTATTTATTATTCCGTGTATTTATGTACACTTGATCAAGATAATAAAAAGGCATAAGCTTTACGAGGAACGTTGTACCGAACGATCTCACCACCGTCTGCGGGAACAAAAGACGCGAGCACCCAGAAGACGCTCCAATTGTGGACCACAAGTTGTTGCGCACCAAATACCTGATGTGACAAATGCCCTTGCAGATCAATTGAACTTTAAGGCTAGCAGAGAGACCTTTAAACCACGAAGAACGTGTTACTAAGAACTGGTATGGTAACATTAATAAAATGAATTAACAGTGTTTTATGCCTTGGTTACTAACCCTGAAATTATTCATAAATTTGTATTTTTGACTCTATTAATGCTCAGTGTAATCTCAGTGCATCTGTGTACATTTTGTGTTTCTCAGTTTCTAAAATTTGTTGTGAATTTCACTTGCTTGTGTATTCCTTCATAAGTGACGTCTAATTTCACAAATGTGTTATGTAAACGTTTTTTTTTATTTGTGCGTGAATTTTATATGTACACTATCAACCAGCTTGATGAAACCAAATCATTGATTTTTCTTTCTTTTTTTTTTTTGGCTATGCTCGCGTCGAAACTTAAAACGAAGTGCGAGTGGAGAGGCCCATGTCAGGCTGTTTGCCTCTAGGCCTTGCCCCGGCACTGAGCTCTGCAATGTTCTTGCTGTAAATAAACTATTCTTATACCCTTACTGTTAAAGGCCAATTCAGTTCATTTGACTGTGCATAGTCGGATATTGTAAAACTACTGAAAAAAATCTTGCCAGTCATTCTAGCCGCATAATTTTACTCTTGATTTAATCTTTGTTAGAAGGAGGCAAGGCGCTGCTCCCTCATACACCCTGTATAATATGTTGGTAATTTACATAGTAATCTCTACAGCAGAGCTTCAATATGTGATTTCTTGAAGTAAGACAAGCTACACATAGACATTCATTAAAAGCTGTTTCAGCAATTTTGTCTGCTCTCCCAAACGGTGCGTTTAACATATTCAGACGTATTGCAGGCGGATGACTACCAACAAATTATTGGATTGTGTTATCAAGGACATTGCCATCCTTTGGGACATCCTAACATAACCCATCTTACTCCACCGACAGATGATACGGTCGGATAAAGGTGACCTTTCGACGTTATGGAATAAATTTATCAGTCACATGGTATTACTACCGTATATTTTATGTGAGTTTTCCTAAGAACTGACATTTTACAGCAGTAAACCTAAAAGTGTACTAAGCCAAACAATAATGAAAACTCTTGTTGGAGCACGTCACGCGGGGGCACGTAGGTTTATGAAGCGTCAGCAGAATCTCGTTCCTCTACGCCATCACATGATTACTCAGAGAGTGTTGGTCAAAATTTCCGGAGCCCTCCACTACGGCGTCTCTCATAATCAAATCGTGGTTTTGGGACGTTAAACCCCACAAATCAATCAATCAATCAATCAATTACTCAGAGAGTGTAAGGGGGAGAGGCCACAACATGAAGCGTCTGTAGAATATCGTTCTCCTACGCCATCACATGATTACTCAGAGAGTGTAAGGGGGAGAGGCCACAGCCTGAAGCATTTGCAGAATCTCGTTCCCCAACGCCACCACATGATTGCTCAGAGAGTGTAACGGGGGGAGGCCACAGCATGAAGCGTTTGCAGAATCTCGTTCCCCAACGCCATCACATGGTTGCTCAGAGTGTAAGGAAAAGAGGCCACAGCATGAAGCGTCTGCAGAATCTCGTTCTTCTACGCCATCACATGATTGCTGATCGAATTTAAGGGGGAGAGGCCACATCATCTTACCCAGAGTCCTGCCCAGGCCAGAACGCACAGCGGGCTGAGATTCGCCTTAAGCTGCTTCGTATTTTAAAAATTCACAGCATACCCACGGGTTGAATGATGATGAGTGAGTGAAGCTCCGAAAATGATCATCGGTAAACATGAATATTCCGTGTAATTCACCCAGTCAATCATCATTTAAAGATGTGAGAAACACTGTGTCTGTATGCCGTGCCGCTTGCGCCTCCCACACTCGTACGGCAGGATCCTGGCGGCGGCGTCGCGCAGCTTCACGGCACGCAACTGCCTCCTAGTCTCGCACATGGGATTCTGTTTGCGAGCAGGCAGGCAGGCAAAAAACTTTATCGGGCGCTGCCGCCGCCACCTAGCGCGCTCGCCGCTCTGCAGTTTTGTCTATCCGGCGGCTCCAAGCACGCGCCAACAGCGAACGAATTTTATTACAACGCCCCACTACCGTACGTCACCACACTAAATCGATCGATTGTCTTCCATGCACCCATGACACACGCCATATGTGGCATCATTTCTATTATGGCTAAAAGGGAAAGTGGCAGGTCAAATGATACTCATTGGTTTCGTGTACTTGTGGACGGGAGCAAAGGCCAGAGAGGAAAACCAGGCAATGGTAGAGTGTATATTAAAGGACATTCAGGAGTTAGGAAGAGAGTGCGAAATAATTATACTAGGAGATATGAGTGCACATATAGAAGATATAGATGGGTATACCGACCCGACAGGCAAAATGATCATGGATATGTGTGAAAGGCTTGAGTTGATCATTTGCAACAGTACCGAGAAGTGTGAAGGGCAAATAACATGAAAGGTAGGAAGACTTCAGTCGACGATAGATTATGCACTGATGTCACATAGGATGTATGATAAGCTCAGGGGAATTGAGAAAAGGGTTCCTAGTAGTACATCAACAGGCCCAGATGGCATTCCAATTAGGCTGATAAAGACATTAGGTCCGATGTCTAAGCAGGCTTTGAGAGAGGCAGTGAGCACAACAATAATCGATGGTGAAGTTCCCGATGGATGGAAACTTAGCAGGATGAGCATGATCTATAAAGGAAAGGGGGACAAAGCTGACATAAACAACTACCGTCCTATAACAGTGACATCAGTGGTCTACAGGCTGGCGATGCAGATTGTAAAGGAAAGACTGCAGGCGTGGATAGAGGATGAGGGGGTGTTGGGGGAACTGCGGAATGGGTTTCGGAAACACAGGATGTTGGAAGACAATATGTTCTCACTGACGCAGTGCATCGAAATAGCACAAAAAGAACACAGGCCCCTGTGGCTAGCATTTTTGGTTATCAAGGGAGCGTGCGATAGCGTGGTTCAAGAGGAATTGCGGGGAATACTGGACACACTAGGCGTGGAACATGCAGTCACTAATCTTTTAAAGGGTATCTATAAAGGTAACAAGGTAGTTATAAAGTGGGAAAAACGGGTATCCAAGCCTGCAGAGGTAAAACGGGGGCTTAGGCAGGGGTGCCCCCTGTCACCCTTATTATTCATGATGTACCTACAAGGATTAGAGGCAAAATTAGAGGGAAGTGGACTGGGCTTCAACCTCTCTTTAGTCAAACAAGGAAAACTTATTGATCAGGCACTACCAGCATTAATGTACGCAGATGATATAGTGCTAATGGCCAACAACAAGGAAGATTTGCAGAGATTGATGGACATCGGCGGTAATGAGGGAGATAGGTTAGATTTTAGATTCAGTAAGGAAAAATCAGCAGTCATGATTTTCAATGACAACGAAGGTAGTGAGCTTAGAATACAGGAGGTCACGCTAGAGATATCAGATAAATACAAATATCTGGGCGTATGGATAAGCGATGGGACCGAGTATCTGAGGGAACACGAAATATACGTGACGACTAAAGGTAACAGGAATGCAGCAGTCATGAAAAATAGGGCACTGTGGAATTACAATAGGTATGATGTTGTGAGAGAAATATGAAAAGGGGTCATGGTCCCTAGGCTGACGTTCGGCAATGCGGTCTTGTGCATGAGATCAGAAGTTCAAGCAAGATTAGAAATTAAGCAACGTGGAATAGGTAGGCTTGTTTTAGGAGCTCACGGGAATACACAAAATCAGGGAGTACAAGGTGATATGGGATGGACATCATTTGAGGGCAGGGAAGCTAGCAGCAAGATAAAATTTGAGAAGCGATTGAGAGAAATGGGGGAAGAGCGTTGGGCTAGGAAGGTTTTCAGCTACTTGTACATGAAGAATGTCGATACAAAATGGAGGAAGCGAACCAGGAGGTTGACCGGTAAATACTTAGAAAACAGCAGGTGGCCAAACCAAAAAGAACTATCGGTTAAGAAGAAAGTGGAAGAAACGGAGACTAACATGTGAAAAATGGGCATGATTAAGAAGTCCGCACTAGAGATCTATCGAACTTTTAAGCAGGAAATTGCCAAGGAAAGGATCTATGATAATACTCGGGGTAGTTCTCTACTGTTTGAGACCAGGACGGGAGTACTGCGAACCAAGACATATCGGGCCAAATACGAAGGGGTAGACACAGTATGCAGTGCGTGTGGAGAGGAAGAAGAAACTGCCGAACACTTGATAATGTTCTGTAAAGGGCTTCACCCAATGGTTCAGGATGATGGCGCAGAGTTTTTCAAAGCAATGAGATTTAGGGAAAGCGAGGGCAAAATAGACTTTAAGCGAGTAGACTTAACTAGAAGGAGGTTATCTGATTGGTGGCTAAAGTCAAGGCACGAGTGAAAATTGAACTCTTCACTGCAAAGTACGAATCCTCAAACTCACTTTTTAAGGGGAAAAAATAAATATAGTTTTTGGTTCATTAGGTATTACGGCTTGGTGGCACTAGCCACCGCCCGATCTAAAGGGTACAGCCATATCCATCCCTCCATCCATCCATCCAGCCTTGTCTATCCGGCGACTCCAAGCACGCGCCAACAGCGAACGAATTTTATTACAACGCCCCCACTACCGTACGTCACCACACTAAATCGATCAATAGTCTTCCATGCACCCATGACACACGCCATATGTGACATCATTTCTATTATAAGATCTCGCATCTTTCATCATCAACTGCAAGTACCGCCATCTAGTTTTATAACATCTCGCATCTTTTCATCAACTACAGGTACCGCCTACCCCGCCGCGGTGATCCAGTGGCTAAGGTACGCGGCTGCTCACCCGCAGCTCTTGGGATCGAATCCCGGCTGCGGCGGCTGCATTTGCGATGGAGGCGAAACTGCTGTAGGCCCGTGTGCTCAGACTTGGGTGCACATTAAAGAACTCCAGGTGGTCGAAATTTCCGGAGCCCTCCACAACGGCGTCTCTCATATTCATACGGTGGTTTTAGGACGTTAAACCCCACTTATCAAAGAGTACCGCAATCGAGTGAACACTTTAAGTACCACCATCTAGTTTTTATAACATCTCGCACCTTTTCATCAACTACAAGTACCGCCATTTAGTGAACACTGCAAAATCTCAACTATAGGTGGCTACCTACAACTACATACTTCAGAGGATGTACAGACCCACGCCTGCAGAAGCTTCGCCCTTAAACACTCGACCATCTTCCGGAAGGGAACCTTGATTGAACACGAAGCAGCCGCGTTGCGCACGGGTGGCGTCACGGGTTGAACGGCGTTAACGCGGGTGCTGCGGTAAGCGCTGGAAGGTTCTTTTGAAGGGATGGCTGGCGTAGGTCGTGTAAGTAACACTTCGAGATCTATTTTAACGCGCATGTTAAGCACGCGTCACACTTATTGCGCGTGAACCGACGAGTTGGCGGTGTAGCGAGCGGTGGTGGTGACAAGTGTTGCGGGTGAACGGACGAGGTGGCAGAGTATGTACAAAAATGAGCGTGTCCTCTGTTGGAAGCTCGTGTTATATAATCACTGGGAGATTTCCGAACAAAAACAGACTCCTAGAAACGGAAAGATCGAGACACCTGACGACGCTCACACGGCACGTTGTGCGCAGGATACGCTGCGCATTGCGTATTCTCCCTCAAGAAGTCGGCCAAGCACATCACTCACATTCAGTCTTAGATTGGACGACCAAGTCCCTTGGCCTAACATCCGTCTGCAGCGACTCAGAGCACGAAATGCCGCAAGGGATAACAAACCTTTCACGCGCGCTATTGGCGCTGAAACTGTTTTTACTATAGTAGAGCCATCGGCAGCTACTATAGACATTTATTTGAGGATGTGTCCTCTTCGAGGCTGGAGTAAAAGTGCGCCAGAGGCAGTGACGTTTGTACAAACAGCTTGATTTGCGAAACAGGCACCGTTCTTGGCTTGTTTAGCAGGCGAGTTATGATCCACGACAAACGCCGAGCCCTGAATGTGAATCCATCCAAC